CGGGGCGGGTAAATGTCTCGGGGGTAATTGTCCGGGGGTAATTGTCCGAGGGGTAAATGTCGCGGGGCGGGTAAATGTCTGGGGGGTAATTGTCCGGGGGTGATTCTCCGGGGGTAATGGCTCGGTTCCGCGATACAAAGGTGTAGAGTTACAGCCGGCCGCGCTAGGTGGCTCAACTTCCGGGTAGGTCACGCCTGAGTCACGCAGCCCCCACACCACCTGTGCGCGTGTCTGTGCACACCACTCACTGATCTCCATGATACATCATAGAGTTATTATGGAGATCAGTGACACTGACACCGACCCACAGTTTCCACAGCCACGCAGTGTTGTATGCATGTGTAACGTGTACCTATAGTCGTCAGTAGTAAACCGATGCCTTAGTAATTTTGTTCATCTTTTATGTTAATATTGCTGCATTATTCTTTCTTATTTTACTAATACTAGTCCATACCGTTAGGTGTCAGAACTTTCTGTGTAGACCACATTGTTCACTGATGGAACGTTTAGTTGTGTCATTGGCGATACAGCTAGAAATTTAGCTGCAGGCCACTTCCCACGCGTGACTGAAGAAGTGTTTGACCGTGACACACACACACACACACACACACACACACATCAACACACACACACACAGACACACACACGCACGCACGCACGCACGCACACACACACACACACACACACACACACACACACCACACACACACAATACACCACACACCCACACCACACACCATCACACACACACACACACCACACACACAGCACACACACACAACACACACACACACACACACACACACGCACGACACGCACACACACACACCACACACACACACACACACAAACGCGCGCCACACCCACACACACACACACACACACACACACCAAACGCGCGCGCACACCCACACACACACACACCACACACACACACACACACACACACCACACACGCACGCACACACCACACGCAGACACACACCACCGATCACACACACAACATCACACACACACACACACACACACACACACACGCATACACACACACACGCATACACAAACACATACACACACACGCACACATAGACAACACACACACACACACATAGTATATACACTACAAGCACGCACACGCACACGCACATGCACACGCACACACACACACACACACACACGCACACACACACACAGAAAATCTCCAATTTATGTAAGATTGTTCGATGTGAACATACTCGTGACTCAACATAGCCCATAGCAAAGCAATTAATGTCAGGAACACTAATATCAAATCGACCAGATTTTTTGGATTTTTAACTAGTTGAGAAACAATCTTATCAGGTAAAATTGAGCGCATACGTTTTAGTCTTGTTAGTTCTAATTTTAATGTAAAAAAATTGCACATTCCGACGTAGTCAATTTAATTGTTTTTAATTAATTTAGAAATATTTTAATAACATTTTCACACAGCCACTGTCCGCAGACAGCATTTTACCCACATTCGCACATGATATACATGCAAGACGGCAGAAAAATTAACAAAAAAAACATCAACGTGTACGAATACATGTATAATCCAGAGCAAAAGCTTTAATAATATAATAAATAAATATACGGTCAAGACAAAACGGTATTGTACTTGTAAAGTCTTACATACTTCTCCCGTTCCTATTCGCCATGCGATGTAGCGCGGACTATTAATAAACACGGACTCCGCACTACGGGGATCTATATGTTATATACTGGAACCACAACATTTTAAAGACTGACTCCAGCTCGTACAAGGCCAGCTGTCCCTGGACCTCGGTACATATACTATGACTAGGTTTTAATAGCAGACACCAACACTGCTAGCTCACAGCAGAATGTTTTGCTTTTTCGCGCACTCTTTTGGTTGCATGTTGCCGCAATTCCCTGTCAGCTGTACTACCCGGAAGTAGTATATCGCGTAGCCCACCTCGGGAATCATGTCGCGATAACTCTGATCGCGGAACCGAGCCATTGTCTGGGGGGTGAATGGCATGGGGGTAATTGTCCGGGGGGTATTTGTCCTAGAACCATATATATATATATATATATTTTAAAATAACAAGTGCCGAAAGACAAAATGTGATAGCCTTCAGTTTAGATTATGCCTAAACTCGCTGTTATTATCCACTCACACGTGAAAAATGTCACGACTTTACATTCTTGTGATGGCTTTTATGATGTCTAATGTAATCTTGCATTGCTTTCTCCAAAATGGGGAAACTCATCCCACGTGGGACATGCACACACATGACACCTACAATTGAAGTTGCTGGTATTAGTTGCAACTCTCCACAGCAATTTCAGGAAACCGATACTGATTGTACTGGTTATTCTCACTGTTCTTGAAATGGGGTAGCATAAAGAGCATGATCAATGCAATAATAATTCCAATTTTAACATTGTTCAGAATATGAATTGATTGTCAGTGTATAACTGGGAAACGGCAACTGTTCAATGATGTATGGTCAGTGTGGAATGGTAGAAGCTTACCAAGTTTACTGATGTCAACAATATTCCTGTGCTCATCATCAAAGAAAATCATCTCTGAAAACTCCACGCATTGCTTATCTTTAAACCTGTTGGAATACATGCGATTTATTAAACATCCCATCATTCCACCTAAAAGTGTTCCATAATAAAAGTTAAAACATCCAACAGCTAACCGTGCACAGTAGAGTTGCAATGGGTAATGCTGAAAATGTGATTATATAATGATAAATGTTGGCAAATAATGAAATTCAGTGGGGGGGGGCAGAAAGTGCAGCAAATTCTATGGACTGAAAGCATAGCAAATTTTGTGAGTTGCTGTTGACTTCATGGGCCAGTTACCAGAAATATCGTAAGGTTGTGCGAGAAAATTAAATGCTAAGATAACACTTACCACTAAAGTTAAGATATGAAAATAGCATTGACTGAAACACATCATACCAAGAGCATATAAAGAAGGAGAGCGTACAACGGTAAAATGCTGAAACCATGTTGCAGTATTAGTCTAATTAATAAACTTTCCCGTTTTATATTGACGATTCTTTGCAGTATTATTGATCAGCTGTCCTACCTTGTTCATATAAAACAAACCGCATGTCCCTACGATGCCCCTACGCTGAGATAATGAGCGGTGAAAATCTGGTATTTTCGCCGAACACCGACTAGACATTAGTCAGTACTGCGACCGACTCGCGTTCTGGCGATAGCTTCGGGAAACCTCGCGTGTTTCCGTCATTCATTGACAATGAAATTTATTTTCCTTCTACTATCTTTTCTCGCATTTCCAGTCATTGACGCAGGCCCGTCGGAGCCGCTACGGTTGGTACGGGATTGACCATACCACTTTTCAGCCTAAAAAAGAAGAAGAAAAAAGGAAAAGAAAAAAAGAGAGATGGTGAGGGAGAAGAAAAGAAAAGAGAAGAAAAGGAGAGAGAGAGGGAGAAGAAAATAGAAGAGAAAAGAAGAGAGAAGGTGGGAGGCTGAGGCATAGGCTGATCGTAGGCTTATCACCAGGGTAATTTAAGCTTGTAGCGGGGTAGCGGGGAAGCTGGTAGCGGGGAAGAACATGAACATCGAAGTGACTTTGCCTTTTTTCCATTATTATGAAACGCATTATCACATAAACCGAAGAACAGCATATATGCCACAAAACTTTTTCATCCAATCGCAAATCTTAAATATAATATCCTCAAGAAAGTGATAAATTAAGCTCGCCACCTGACCGTGAAACCTCTTATTTATAGGTTAGGGTTAGCAGCTTGACCTCAATTTCTATTTAATGAAGAGTAATTTGTCCTTTTCTGCAGTACAATGAAAGGATAAAAAAAATCACTTTAAAGTGTGCTAAATTGCATGATTTGCACCCCCAATTCAAAAAGTTCTTACCGAGGGAGGGGGACCCCCCCCCCCCACACACACCCTCCCCCGCTCGATCGCTCCGCTCCCTCGCATCGTTTCCTGTCCCGTAATCAAATTTCTAAAATCTGGTCACCCTGTCTGCCCCTTCGAACCCCGCTGGGGGTTTCACCCCCAGACCGCCACTGAAACCGTACAGGGGCGTGTACAGGGGGGGGGTCCAGGGGGTCCGGAACCCCCCCCCCTGCTCGCGCAGAAAACGCATATAAGGGGGTCTAATTTCAAAATTTTTCTTGGGGAGGGCCCCCTAGACCCCCCCTTCGCGTGCTCGCAAGTTTGGGTTACGGTTAGACCCCCCCCCCATGGTACAAATCCTGTACACGCCCATGCCGTACCACTTTAAAATTCCTTCCGACGAGCCTGCATTGACGCATCCATTACTCCACACAAACGGCTTGTTATTTATCGCCATGGTGATGACCAGCCCCTTACGCTGGATGTAGTAACGCTGTAGTAATAACGTATCGAGTCAGCGCTACACAGCGGCGATCGGAAGCAACACACTGGCCACACTTCGAAAGTGGGTTGCAGTACTGACTAATGTCTAGTCGGTGTTCGGCAAAAATACCAGGTTTTCACCGCTCATTATCTCAGCGTAGGGGCATCATAGGGACATGCGGTTTGTTTTATATGAAGAAGGTAGGACAGCTGATCAATAATACTGCAAAGAATCGTCAAAATAAAATGGTGAAAGTTTATTAATTCGACTAATACTGCAACTTGGTTTCAGCATTTTACCGTTGTACGCTCTCCTTCTTTATATATGCTCTTGATCATACCTATGAGCTAACTTAAAATAATACACTTGGAAAATTGCTGATGCAAATCAGCCGATTCATTGAGAATCAATCAAAATCAAATTCAAATACATTTATTCTGCATAACTGAGTAATTTTGTTTTTTACCATTGTTTGATTTGAGAGTACATTGCTCATCATACTTATGAGAAAATTTACTAGGATTTTTTTATACTTGTAACTTCAGTGTTTCTGCCAGTGGTCTACATGAAAATGTTTGAATTATGACTAGTGCTAAGACCAGTTATTTTTACTACAGCCTTAGAAAAATACCACATGTAAGTTAATTTCAATGAAATTCACTTGAAAATTAGTTGTGAGCACACACCTCAATGGCTAAACACGTCACTCTTATGCAGAAAAGTGTATAAGCTTACCTTGTAAAATGATTAACTTTTGCACCAGGGTAAATTTCTTTCTGCACAAAGAACTTGTTCCAATCTAACAGTGCAAGTAGCTGCTTAGCTCCTTCAATCTCAGTTGTTCTAAAACGAGAAAATGTTTCTATTCACATTAATTTCTCAATTCAAGGCTGGTCGAGTTATAATAAGAAAGAAGCAAGCATGAATACAATTATACTGCTTACAAGGTTGCTGCTCAAGGTGTCTGTATATTACCTAATTCTTTTATCACAGATATTTACCTGGATGCTACAGCCATTCTAATTCCCAGTTCGTGCACCCACTCTAGGATGGGTCGTGCATCTTCATAATGCCTGACCTTTACATGATGGCGATCATAAACATTCCCATCTCTGATATAAAAAAAATTAATAAAGTGTATTACACATATTTTTTCTTTACTTTTATGATCACAGGCAGTGGCATAGCCACGATTTTTTAACAGGGGGAGGGCAAAAACAGCGTACTGTGCAAAATAGCGGATGGCTTAATATTTTAATGGTGCCTCTGCCTCCTTCGCCACACCCTACGCTCCCCCACCTCTCAGCTCTGCAATCTTTGTTTTGGGTGCCAATCAAAAAGGCAACATTTTTGTTCATTGTACTCTGCTCCCAAGATATGCAACTGTTCAGTGGCGGATCCAGGATTCCAAGGAGGGAGGTGAAAAACAGACGGGGGGTATAGTGGTTCTCCCCCAGAAAGATTTGAAAATGTAGATCGCAGGAGCTGGTATTTGAGGCACTTGTACAGCCCTCATTCTGACTATGACAATTCTCTTTTTAGTAGAACAATTCTTTTCTTTTTTTACTTTCGCATCAACAGGGCATGGCCCCCTTTGGCCCCCCTAACTACGCCACTGGTCATAGGAGATATTTGTTTATAATAATAAATTGAATTGTCAAATATTAAGTACAAAATACATATATACACAGAGCATGAAATTAGCCAAATTTTAAACTGGCCCTTAGACAAATTGAACAGGCCCTTATAAGTTTGTTCAATTTATTCCATTATTAATAAAAGTATTAGCTTTGTGTTTATTAGGCATACTCATATTATTTCAGTATTTGATTGCTATCAGTGGAATTCTACTTGTTTGACAAGAATTGCTGAAACATAAGTTACGTACCTCACTAAGCAAAAACTAGTCAGAAAATTGATAAATATTGTCGATATAAAGGCAAGATAGGCAAAATTTTGAATAGGCGAAGTGGACTGATTATATTGGGGGGTTGAACTGGCAGCCGCCGTCAAAATAGCGCTAATTTCGAGCCCTGTATACATATTACATATAATTATTACAGATAATTCTCACTTTTCCTTTCTGAATGGAGGATCGACGTGTGTATCTACCCAAAATGGCCATAATGTGTAGTCTGCAAAAATAAGGATATTTTGTCTTATTATCAATACCATGTGTTCCATTTTTTTATAATCATAGGCAAATATTTACCCCAATACCATACGCCAAACACATGTATAGCAAAAAATTTCAGTGGCTCTATAGACTAGGTTGTTTGATGGTGCCAAACGCAGAATTTTGCAGAGACACTAGATGGCAGGAGTGTATTGATGTGGAGCAGTATTGCCACACTAGCCGTACACTACCACTCCCTGCAGTATTAGTGTAGTAGTGACACAAGTACAGCCAGAGTGGTAGAGTAGATCTATATGTTCACCCATTATTATCGACATAAAGTCCATGTATTACAAATTCATGTATGAGGAACGATTGCCCCTTCATTACCTTTGATAACCGATTCTGGTACATAGAACAACTGTTTTAAGGATACACTCGAGCTTTTGCACGAGTATTGCTCTAATTAAGAGTAAAAGTTTATTGACACACCAATGAAATCAATCACACGTTTTATTTATAGATGAGATGTAGCTCTATGCTCAAGACAAAAAATTTCATTAAAATTTCCAAATTGAGTTTGTTGTCAGCCCTTGACACTAACTGTTGTCCGATTGCCCGGGAAAAGTCAAAGTCTATGTCGGACAAGTTATTGTGCTTGCCTAGTTGCCCGATGGACAACTGAAAAATTCTAGTTGTTTAACATTCCTAACATCCTTTGAGCCAGGGCGCTATTGCACCACATTCTCACGTCAAACGTTTTCAAAGGTCGCTGAAAAAAGCAGCCCGCGACACCCACTGTTACCATTAGATTTATTCAGAGCAGCAGTGGCCTCCTGCGGCACCGATTGATGTACAAGGGGGGGGGGGTACGATTTTTTATAAGTCGCTTGGGGCATGTTCATTACTGAATATGTAGGGGGTGGGCATCGCTGGGATGCAAGGACGACAGCAAAACTCTTTCCTGGGATTGAGGAAAAAACTGTGGAACATGTGAGATGCGACATGTGACATCGCTGCAACCCTCGGCGAGCTAATCCTTGACCTATTTACAGCTGGTATGCCCTCCACGCACGCACACCCACCGCAATCAGCCACAGCTCCAATCTCCCAGCGAGCCACACCACATCGCCGAGGGAACAAGAGTGCGCAAAAGTCGTTAGTAGCTGCCTATTGTTTCAAGTTAGGCAGGTTATATATTTGGTTTGCTGGCCACAAAATGGAGAATCGTGTCGTACGCTTTAGTCTGTATCTCCAGATTACGGGTGTATACGAGCCTGTAAATACCGTATTATTGTCGACAGTTTCCTGTAAATTCCGTGTAAATGCTCTATGCACACACACTACCGGCCGCTATTCCTCATGCTTTTATTGAAACGCTTCCAGTGCCTGTGGACAGGCACACGCGCGAATGCGTGATGCGAGGCGTGCGCATAATATTGCCGCGAGAGGGCAGTAGGGTTCAGTCACGAACAATGGCCGATCTTGTGGGCGGTGATTTATGAGTTCCCAAAAAAGAAGGATTATCAACGGATTTCGAGGTAATTTACTGCGGAGAGAAAGTAATATGAGTCCGTAAATGCCACGCGCAAATACGGACATAGATTTCAGGGCCGTAGCAGAGGAAGGTCACGGGAAATTCTCGCGCGTCGCAATGGTCAGAAACAGTCAAAAACGAGCGAGTAGTGTCGCTTCAACGCATTTTTTCGACACTTCCTGTTAACTCACGTAATTTTTGTCGGTCGAAATGAACAAAGAACACCCTCAACAGCACCCCTGTCGATTTTCAAGGGGCTACCCCCACATTTACGAAAATGACATAGGTCTCAATGGGACCCATGTTCTCTATCCTTGAACCACAGGCACACAGGCATACAGGCTCTACCTACAGTAAACACGAATCAGAACGTAAAAGAACCATATTGACGATTATTCTTGCGGACGTAAAACACAAGCATTAGCAGTGACCAACCTCATGCAGCGGTCGTAAAGAGGTATTAGCGTAGAGCTAACGTAACATAACACAATGACAAAAAACAACAGACCTTTAGGAGTTGACAAGTCTACCTAAATCAAACACGATCAGCTTTGGTTTCGACATAAATTCGATCACGACTGCCAACTAAAATGTATTATGCGACAGTGTTGCCATCTACCGGTACTTTAGATCGGTAAAATATTATAGGTCTGTTTTGGCTTTATACCCTAATCAGTAATCACCCTTATTATACCCTTATAATACTCTGATTTTCCTACAGCACCACCCCTTGGTAATAGAGACAAGAGCCTATAATGTAAAATCATGAACATATGCATTGTAGGCACTTGGGCTGTTTCAATGAATGATAAAATTATGCTAATTATACGCAGTGCGTAGTTTAGGGGGGGGCAAAGGGGTGCATGGCCCCCTCTTCAGCTGTTGCTCCGAAGGTAAAAAAAACATTGTTCTACTAAAATGAGAATTGTCGTAGTCCGAATGAAGACTGTACATGTTCTCATGAGGTGCCTAAAATACCATCTCCTGCGATCTACATTTTCAAATTTTTTGGAGGAGGACCCCCTACCCCCCGCCTGTTTTTCACCCCACCTCCTTGGAATCCTAGATCCGCCACTGAACATGTATATATCTTGTACAATGCTATATTATCGTTATGTATCTTATGTAATCTTATATATCTTACAGATGTATATATCTTACAGGCCCGTAGCCAGGGGGGTTCGGGGGTCGAACGAACCCCCTCCCTCCGAGCCCCCCAAACCCCCAAATTGTTTTTTTTAATTTGCCAAGATTTCACCTCAGGTTGCTCATTTTTTAGTGTAATAATTGCAAAATCTCCATCGTGCGGGAGGGTGAACAGTGAACACCCCCTCCCACACCCTGCTCCCCGCTCGTCCGCTTGGCTCCCTCGCCTGGTCGCTTCGCGCGCAGCAGGGGCGTGTACAGGGGGGGTTTCTCCCCCTTCGCGTGATCGCAACTTTGGGTTACGGTTAGATCCCTCCCCCCCTGGTACAAATCCTGTACACGCCCCTGCCGAGCAAATTGCCAACATTGAAAAACGAACCCCCCCCCTAATATAACGCTGGCTACGGGCCTGTATCTTATACATGTACATATCTTGGGAGAAAAGAACAATTAACAAAAATGTCGCCTTTTCGCATGGCGCCCAAAGCAAAGATTGCAGAGCTGAGAGGTGGGGGAGCGTAGAGTGTGGAGAGGGAGGCGGAGGAACCATTTAAAATCACTACTATTTACAAAGTCATCCACTATTTTGCGCAGTTCGCTGTTTCTGTCCCCCCCCCCCCTGTAAAACAACCCTGCATGGCTACGCCACTGATTATACGCACATTGTACATACTACCAAACTCTCAATGTTTATGTATTCTCTATCTACGTACTTATCTATATATACGTGGAGTTATTAGACCATGTAGGCTATAGAGCTTATATATTATTGGTATAGTAAATACTATTGATGTTTTTACATATTTACCAAATTTTTGCGTTCACACAATTTATGTTTATATGTTTGAAACTCATGTCATTTTATGATTGAAACGACCCAATTAAGTGCATATATGTATTATGCATGTGTATTACAAAGTTAATTGTAATTCATCAATTGATGTTATTTTGAAGTTGTTAGAGCCTAGCTGTTAGATGCAAAACAAAATCAATCGCGCAACAGATTCATAGCAAACATACGCTATTACCCTATCATTGATAAATAATAGATCGTATATAATAGATATAATGATTACCGGGTAATAGATCTATTATTATACACTCGTGATATTATTATGTATGTGTGGGTTGTACCGTTAGAACGCTATCTGGGCACTTGACCACGTAGGCCTACATTGAATCAAGAGCTAATAATACCTAATATATATATATATATATATTAGGTAATATATAATATAATAATAATAATAATAATATATAATATATATCAAGAGCTAATAATACCTAATAAGGTATTATTAGCTCTTGATTGAATGGACCATCGAAACGCTATACTTGGGCTCGACTAATATAACTAAAGAAATATTTTACTCTGGTAAGATATTGCGCATGCGCTAACACACTAACGTAACCAGATTGTGTACTGACTGTTATATGCAGAAGGCACCTTACATGCAAAGTCTACTTTCTATTTCGTAAGACAGGTCTACTGATGGGATGTTATCATATAAATCTATGCTGGAATACGTCTTCTTCATTTTAAATACATAATCTTTGCAAAATATTCTTCTTCTCTGAAGATATTACGCATGCGCGATTATCGTATTAGGGGTGCAGTATGGGTTGAGGAAAAATACATAACATAGATTGCTAAGAGCGAGGGGTGGGAGACTGAGGAAAGGCGGCAGAGAAGATAGCTGATGGACGGTAGAAGAAGACGAAGACTGGGCGAGAGACAAGGGAGACAAAAGAAAGGACGGGCGAGGATGAAGTAGGAGTTTTGCACCCTACAGCTAGCCTAGGGCGCTCTCCTAATTATAAACGCAAGTTTACTGATAACAATTTATTGCATAAATCTATGCTGAGATAAGCCTACCCCCTAACCATATTAAATTCCTATTCATCACAAAATATACCTCCTATGGTGAGATATTGCGCCTGCGCGAACACACTAACCTAGCCAGATTATGTAGGTACTGACTGGTATATGCAGCGGGGACCTTACATGCAAGGTCTTCTTCCTATTTCTTAAGAGAGGTCTAATGATGGGATGTTATCATATAAATTTATGCTAGAATACCTCCTCCTCATTTTAAATGTATATATTTTGCAAAATATTATTCCTCTCTGGAGATAGTACGCATGCGCGAGGAACGTCTTGGGCGTACAGTACAGACAAAAAAACTGCATAATATAGCTTGCTAAGCGCGAGAGGTGGGAGCCTGAGGAAAGGCGGCAGGGAAGATAGCAGATGGCCAGTAGAAGAAGACGGAAGCTGAGCGAGGATGCGATCCCATATGGTTAAGGAGTATCTCAGCATTAGAACTGGATTAGAAAATGTAATGAGTGACATAAAAGCGGTAAATAACGACACATAAGTAAATATGGTAACTTTGTAGCTCAACTGCGTTTATTAATTTAAGATGGCGCCCGTGAAGACGTCCCAGACAATTCCAATTATAAGTTTTTTAAATAATAACAATAATAATAATAATAGCAATAACAAAGACACATGATCGTTTAAAAATGTAGTATACTAGATCTACATCTCTTAGATAACATCACACGCCTCAATTGACCAATTCCCCAACGTTGTTCATGGACTGAAGTACTCGCTAGGATTCATGTTGTGTACACATGATGTTTGTACGGCTGCTTTTACCTCACCATCAGTAATAACGTATAAGAAAGTTTCGCTCTGATCTACTGAATTCGAACATCTTTCACATAAATAATTTATTAAATATTATCATGATCTGCTAATTATCTTCGAGCATTCGTCAATATCACATTCGTTACTATCGTTAAACATTTTCAGTATTTGTAGTTCATTCTAAGGTCTCATGTTGAGTCCGAGGTCTGTCCTTCATCGTATATCGCTGGCTTCATCTAATCAATAGTAATCATCCCAGCTGAACATCATCGGCATTATAGTGGGCGACCCCGGTCGCCTGTGATTCGATGAATCCTCGCACGTGGCGTTCTGAACATGAATAGCTTACATAAATATCTTATCATGAAGGTCGACTTTGGAAGAAATTATAGGTCTGCGTTGAATTCGTACAGAGGTAAAACTTAATAACGACTACGAAAAGCTATGCAAGTTTTATTGATATTCACTTTATAGTCAGTTGTTAACTTTCAAATTCATAGCTGACTCGTTTAATCCACTTTCCTGGCGAGTGCCGAGGAAGAACGATATGCAATGTAATGATACGTTTGTGAAGATGCCTGTTTTATTTATACAATAATATAGTTTAAACTCGATCATAACGTGTTTATTATAGGTTCGTACATCTTGAAGCCTTGGTTTACTTACCCTCCGCGTTACCTCCTTCTCCAGCGCTATCTTCTCTAGAGTTGCCACGGAACATTCTTCTACCACGCTCACAGTTTTTTACCATTTTGGTGAAGGCCTCGGGATTCCGTTCTAAAGTAAGTAAGGTGAAGTAAGTGAGATGCCGACAGTGGCAGGCGCCATTATTTCATTTATATTTTTGTAATACGAAAATAATATATTACGCATAATAAATCTTTATAATACGGTATTAATACGATTAACTTTGCTGCCACCATTTATAATTATTAATCCAAATTATGTCTTAGCAATTTGTAAACAGGTAGGAAGGCAGTACGTACTAGAAATCTAACGGTTTCGAAGATGAAAAGGGGTAGGACTTGCTTGTCATAAATGGCAACCCACTTTTCAAGATGCGGGATAACCTGTCCACCTCCCATGCACAAAACCTACGAAAGTATTTTATTAGTTAACATTAATATCTCTTTGCGGTCTCAGTCGCGGTTATAGCCATAGTTGTGGTAGTGACGATGATGGTGACGCCGATGAAAACAACGACGATGACGATGATAAATTCTCTCGTTAATCTAGGTCACGTTCTTTAATCTAATTTAATATTTCTTTAGCCTCTTAAAGTAGTGAGTAACAACTATACTGACCTTCCGTTCCTTTTCGCAAACTGCTAGCATCCACGGCTTCCACGTGCTTCCAGAAAACCACGAGACCCGCATTTCTGGTGAAAGTGTGTTAGCGCTGAAATTCATACAGATATTCAAGTTAATCATGCAATCCTATAACAATCAAAGACACAGATGTTTAGGTCCGTATGCGTGCCATTGGCTAGACAATTTCTTTCCGATTAAAGCCATAAGTACATTACACACAACGCCAAATCTTTATATGCGACATACGGTACTTTTGTTTTTCATCAGCAAACGATTACGTACGCCAAAATACCCGAACATACCGTTAGACACGTAGAAACGAACCCGGGTAACGCCGGGCACCCCACTAATACTAAGATTAATATTAATGTCATAGTATTCAAAGCCATTAACATGAGCGTGCTCGTGAAAATAATGGCAGAAACTGACTTACTCTCCTCCTGGAGGAAGGTAGGCAAACGAACACGGTGTGCCATCTCTTAAAGTGACGATTGAGGATTTGGTCGGCACAACCTGAACACGACGCAACACGTCATAACACACAGAAATAACAGATGCTAATAACAACAACTCTACCTAAATACACGCCGTGTTAGTAGTGTGTGCGTGCAGTGCAGTGAGCGCGTTCAGCATGTAAAGGTGGATGGCACAACGTTACTCCTTCATCTAGCTACAGAGTCACTTAACATAATGACGGTAGGGTATAGCAAACATCGAGCACATTGGTTCTCGTTATCACTTCATGTAGCCAAAGTGTCAAGTAACTTATTGCCGGTAGACGAGACACTATAGAATTTGCCGCAGTTCGAGCTTGCGTTCTGATTCTGCTATCGCTCTTTCCACGTAGAATTAGTCACTTACTGCTAAAGTCGAACGAATCCTCGCAATTTCGGGCCAATTTCTGTAAATTTTTCAAGTGTTATGAGCGGCCGTTGGTTCTATGACCATAACGCTGCTGTGGAACGTCTTGGGCCGGCGATGGTAGGCCACAGCGGAGAGTTGAGGTTCGACGAACAGATGGTCGATATTGTGGTGCACCTGCGAGAGAAGGAATTGTCGCATCTTCATCCAGGTAATCTACACATTATTATGTGAGACAGGTAACAGTGTATATCGTGTTCATGGAAAGAGTACGTAATTTGGAATGTCATGCAGGATCACATATCGTATACGGGATAGGTAAACGTGCGCGCCAAGCCTTAAAAGCGCGCGTTGGGAGCGAGAGGAAAGACAGAGGTTGAAGGAGAGGGACGTACCAGCGTGTCAGGCGCAAGGAACACACATTTAGAGTATTGGCGGCAATACTGCCAAGTGGTAAGTGCTGCTAGGGACTCGTCCATGACGGACATCCGCATGGCGTCGATCCGCTCCATGCATGCCGCTAATTGGTATCATGTCGTGGTACAGCTCCGACAGCAGGTCTCTGCGCATGCGCACACACCCCCATTCAATGTCATCACACACGCGTGTTCCGTTTCTAGATCACGTCAAGGTTATAGTAGGTTATCAAAGGTTGTGATGATTGTACGTTTTGTTTTACCCGTAAAAAACGCGTGCCGATTAGGGAGAACGAGGGACCTCATGTTACTGTTTGTTTTCTCACCTGAATTCCATAGAGACGTTGTTGGTAACCATGCAGACGAGTCTGCAGGTGACCTGAGCATGACGCAGCGAATGTCCGAGTACGAGCGCACCGATCGCCTCTCCGTCTGTCTCCGCCGCAGTCATGTAGGCTTCGTCTTCAAACGTGGCTGGCAAATATTATAGGTTCAGTTAACGTGACGCATTATAAAATGAATCTCGATCTGCATTGCCCCTTAGCGGTATTTGACACTCATTCTGTAGATTGCATAGCATACCATACCTGGCTCGGGTTTGCGCGGAATTCGTCGTGCCGCCTTCTTGTATTTGCTTCTGCGTGAATTTCCACACTTTTCAACCTCCTCGTTAGTGGGTGGGACGGTATAGCTGATCTAACATTACAGATTAACATTAGAAATCGATCTTGTCTACATCTATAGCAGGTTAATGGAGATATCTGTACAAGACTGACGTACTGCCAAGTGCTAATATTATTATTTTAGCTCCATCTCTATCTATAGGTATTATTTGCTCTTGATACTGCCATAGTGACATGTATGCGAGAGAATGCGCAAAAGAAAGATAGAGATATTATATAATATAATATACTATTGGCTCGCTAAAGGCGTTTACCTGCACCAGACCATTTATGTCCGTAACGGCAGTGACCTCCGTCTGAGTTTCTCCCTCAGTAACGGCGGTGACCTCAGTCTGAGTTTCTCCCTCAGTAACGGCGGTGACCTCCGTCTGCGCCTCTCTTTTCGTAACGGTGGTGACCTCCGTCTGAATCCCTCTCTCCGTAACGGTGGTTACCTCCGTCTGAGCCTCTCCCTCCTTAACGTTATTGACCTTCGTCTGAGTCTCTCCCTCAGTAACAGGGGTGACCTCGGTCTGAGCTTCACCCTCAGTAACGGTGGTGACCTCCGTCTGAGTCCCGCCGTCAGTTGTTGTTATCTCCGTCTGCACGGCTGTGCTGGTTACGCTAGCCCTGCCTACACTGATGCTGGCCATGTCTTGGAGCATGCTGCGCGTGCAGACGGTAGCGATACGCAGCGTCACCTGTGTTGCACCATTAAACAACCCGGCAATGGCGTTGATGTTTTCCCCCGCCGGCATTCGCGCCAACATGCCGTTGTTACGATTCCTATATGCATGACCTGTAGAAAGATTACTGTAACTTAATTACTACTGGTGTAGCTGTTGTTCCTTACCCACGGAACACCTGCACGCACACACAAATGCACGCCCGCCCACAATGCTTCTTACATTGCGACCAGGGCCATACCCAATAAACACTTCTGCACGTCAAACAAGAAAGAGTGTAAGCAACCACCGGGATTTAATATCAAAATTCTAAAGTATGTATTTGAGATAAGCGAGAGATATATAGGTGGGAGATAAGGTTTCGAAGGAGTACTGCTTAAATTGTGTTATGTGTTATTCAGATTATAGGATTGAATTCTTTATCAAAAATCGCATTCAAATATTAAACTTCCAGTAATTTATTGACAATACCAATATGCTCAGCAAATAATAAATTATAATATAGTAAATAGTTATAGCACATTAAACTAATAGTGTTTTATATGTTTATGGGTTTATATAATTATATAAATAATTAAATAACAAATATATATATATATATATATATATATATATATATAATATATACACACATATGATATTAGAATCGTATATCAGTAATTTAGGGAATTCCGTCCTCTTTCCGGCTTTTCAATTTTTAACTTTAGGCCTATGATAATATTTCAATAACACGAAACTAAAACGTAATCGTGCAACAGATTCACGTGAATATGTACACTAGTTTTACTATAGCTGCTGACGGTTTATAATTTAAAAATAAAAGATTGCATATTTAAGCTTCAAATATTAATAAACTTCGTTTAATTAATACCTTCGTTTAAGTTCGCACCTGATGCTTGCGGTTGTACGCCCGATGACGGATGTTTGCGAAGCGCACGCATGTAACCTGCGCAAAATCCAGCCGTTGCGATACCTACTACACCGCCACAAGCCACGAGTTTGGCAGATAAAGATAACTCTCTAAACATTTTTCTCGGAGTTTTGCAATTTCACGTCTTTTTTGCTCACACTGGCAAGCAGTAATAATCGTTGCTAGGGTAATGACGTCACTTCTTTGACTGTAGCGCTCACACGCGTGAGCGGCGGTGGAGCATAGAGGAACAATGACGCGCCCTCGTGCCTGTTATTGGGCCGGTTTTAGACTCGTTCGAACGGAGATTAAATACACAAAGCAACGTCAATAGATGCAATAATAATGTTTATAGACACATAATATAGATACGCGTACGCACGCACGCTAGTACAATAATTACATGCAATAATTCCGGCCCTAGATAATTCAATGTTAGTCGATGTTGTATTCGATTTTTCTGTACGCGAAAACATTCGCATATATTCAATCACATAAACCCATGTTTACTTGAAGTTCATGCAGGCATACACGGATAATAACCCTACATAATGCACCTAAAATTAATAGCTGCTGGTATCTTCACAGTTTATTAGCGTGGTGTCTTTAGTCCGTTTATTTTTGGGCCAGTTTTCCGCGGTTTTTTACTCGTTCCAACGTATATAAAACACACAAAACAACGGTAATCGATATAAAAATCATGCTAATGAACGCATGATATAAGATACACATGCACGCTAACACAACACTTGCAATAATGTAATAAGTGTAATATTGTACTAATGTAATAATTCTGGCCCCAGATAATTCAATGTTATTAGTCGATGGTCTATTTTATCCTTCGGTGTAATTAAACATTAACAAATACTTCATCCCATCGCCCCATATTTATTTGAAATTCATTGAAAGACGACTATCATGGTCTGCCGTGTCAACTTGAATATATACACATATGGTTTTTATTAAAATTGTACTGTTAAATGAAGTAGTTTGATATGAAAAATGACCGTCCCAATGGCTGAACTTATTTATTATAAGGCAGCGAATCTTACAAGCGTCATACGGCGGTGTGGATTTCAAATAAAAAGCAAATAGCAAGGAGAAAAATCAATATATAAATATTAAAAAACGTCGGAAGTATGCAAAGAAATTTTATGAAGAATGTAATTATGGTTATTATTGTATTATATATACAGTGGTTCGAAGGAAAATCTTCCTCTCTCGCTCTCTCTCTCTCTCTTTCAATCTCTCTCTGTCTCTCTCTTTCTTTTTTTCTTTCTACCGCCTCCCTTTCTTATAAAATATTTACATATTTTTTGCTTTTACGTTCTCTCTCGAACTATCAATATATCTTTCTCTCCTCTCTCGCTCTCTTACATAATACAGTAAAATTATTTTTCACTCATGATATTTGATGATCCCCAGCTTGTTCCAAGAACGAATCATTTGTGAATTGCACCAACTCGCGCGGTGTGCTACCTGGCAGCGGAGTTGAGAGCCCGTAGAAGAAGAAAAAGGCTGAGCAAGGGACAAGTG